CCGCGCCTCCACGGAGCGCAAGCTGCGGCGGTTCCAGTCGGTGGAGAGCGGCGCCAACAACGTCGTCTTTATCAGGACGCGGGGCATAGGTGCGAAACCGGCGCCGCCTGAGGCTGCGGGGATAAACCGCTCGCGACAGCGTTAGCGACGCGCCACAGAGCGTGACTTCTGAGGAATTAGCTTATACCAAATATAGGGTTTCTCCTTCCCTTTTGCTTCCCCACTGAATTTTGTCGTTACCAGAGTCACTACAGGTAGTAGTGGCTTGGCTTTGGCAAAATAATCTTTGATTATCTGGTTTTGGTATAATAAAACAACTCTTTTTCAGAAAAGGATTTGATGCTGACAGCAGCGCGGCCAAGCATGCGTTTTCCCAGCTTATTATTTAAAGAGGGGAGGAGGGAAGAAAATGCCTCCAATTTGTTTCTCATACCTAGTTGTTTTTCTTGTAGAACCTGAGAACCTGGTGCACCATATATTAAAGGATATGCATACTACTAAAAAGAAGAAAACAAGAGTCATTCTGCGCATGTTACCCGTTTCTGGAACTTGCAAAGCTTTTATGGAGGATATGAAAAAATACACGGAAACGTTTTTTGAGCCTTGGTTTAAAGCCCCTAATAAGGGTACTTTTCAGATTGTTTATAAAGCTCGTAATAACAGTCATATGAGTAGGGAAGAAGTAATCAAAGAACTGGCAGGTATGTATATATTTCACATAGAATTAAAAACAAGTATATAAGCTGCCCACAACTGCATTCACAATTTAGGTCAGATTATTCCAGCAAAGTAGGCTTAATGGGCATACGTTTTTGTTGCTAAAAATCTTAAGTATGTTGAATTACAAAAGCTTTTTTCCTCTAAGACTGTGAAAAGAGCTTTGCAGGAACATTCCTTGTTGTGTCTTAGGCAACGACAAACAGAAGAGAGTGCAGGATTGAATTCAGTTGGGAGTAACAGTTATGTGTGCTTTGAAGTGACTGCTCTCAGAGTTTTTCTCTGAATGCTATATTGAAATAACATGTTTCTATTTCACCTGAATATATGACTCATGAAATAGCTTTACCTTAATTGAGTATTTGTTTCTTGGTAGGTGCAATGGAATAAATTTTCAGTTACTCCAGTCCTCCTACTGGTGGCATCTTCTAAGAGTACTGCTCTGTTCTGCTATTTTAAGTAATTACAACAACTAGTAATTGGTTACAACTAAAGGGAATGTTGCTTTCCCTCTCTAACCCTTATTCTTTCATTAGGGTGTGCTAATGCTATTTTTCCATCTTTTAAACTATTTCTTTTTTTTTTTTTTTTTTTTTTTTTTTTTAACAGGAATTGTGGGCAGCCTCAATCCAGAAAATAAAGTGGATCTTAATAACCCGCAATATACTATTGTGGTGGAAATAATAAAAAACGTCTGTTGCTTGAGTGTAGTGAAAGACTATGTTCTATTCAGAAAATACAATCTGCAGGAGGTGGTGAAGAGCAACAAAGAAGATGCACAGCAAAAGCCATCAAACGTGACAGAAGAAAAAAACTCGAAGGTAGTAAAACCAGAAGTGGAGGAGGAGGAGGAGGAGAACTCAAAAGAAGTAAAACAGGAGAACAAGAATGAGGGTGAACTAGAAACCAAGCCCGAGGGGAAGGATATGCTCACAGTGTAAAAAAACAAAAAAACAAACAAACAAAAACCCCCCAAACACGATAGAAGGGAAAGA